TGTAACAGCAACAGAATATGAAATATTCATAGGCAAATACCCCTGAGTGTTTATAAGATAAATAATTCCCTAACATCTCCTGCACTACTCCCCAAAAAAGATGCATTAGAAGCCCAATATCACCGGAGTCTGTCTGTAAAGCTCTCAAGAGCTCCATTCCATAGCTGGAGCTTGTTTCTCTGTAGGTTTGTGTTAGCTTTTTCCATGAGAGCAGTGTTAGTTAGCTCAGTCAGCCAATGAAAGAATGTGTGTGGGGGATGGAAATAGCAGATTTCCTTTTCCACCAAATGACTCTTTTAGCCACTAAGTGTTACAGCAATCTATTTCCTGGCATTACTTATACACGCTGGATTTCTTAGAATGCCCCAAACACAGAGGCTTGAGTTGGGGAAACCTCTACCACTGTCATCTTAAAGCACCAGACACTTTGTTCCACATTATGGGCATACTTTGACATTCAGAGATTCTCTGAGACAGATTGCATGGGAGCTGCCACAGCACCACTCTTTGCCATATGGGGAGAGTCAAGCTTTAAGCAGTCACCCAGGATTCCAATAATATCAATTCACAATTTTGTTTTGAACAAAACCCACAAACAGAACTCTGTTCTGCACAGACTATGCCAGATATTGTCCCACCTGTCAGAGCAAAAGGAAATGTTTAGCATCTTTTCCCATTTTTCTTTATAGCACAGTCAATAGGTAACACACAGTAAATGTGATTTATGTGTGTAACCCACAAGATGTTTTTGGCTAGCATGCTTTTTAAGGTGCACTTCAAGCTCCTTTATAATTCTGAGTCAAAGAAACGACCTTGCTCTACTGAGTAGCTAATATTTATCATAAAGATACAAGAAACAGGCTAAACATATTTGTTCAATAATGTATTTTATGGCCCATGGTTAGCCACACAGATTTGAGTTTTGAGCTACTAGAACATTTAAATAGGGGGTGAGGATTACAGATAGGTATGGAAGGAGAGTAGGTGAGATTAAGTGGTTATGGACTTGATTTTCTGTGGGGAAAGACCAGCCATGCGACGAATAAGGCTGTGATGTGGCCACCCTAAGAATCAAACACTGGACTTCTGGAGGAGCATCAGTGTATATTCTATCTAGTGAGACATGTGGGAGCAATGGTAGTGATGATGTTAGCGATGCATGTGACAGTCGTTAAGGTCAAATTGATGCCGGTCTGTGACTGACACCCATTTTGTACGAGGGGCCCTTGAATTCTCTTTCGAGCTCTGCCAGGGTATGTCTACACTGCAGAGTTTTTCTGAAAACACTTGTTACGTCCACACTGCAGTCGCGTTCTTTCAAAAAAAAAAAAAAAAAAAAAACCTGAAAGAACAAAGGGGCTCTTCTGACTTTGGTAAACCTCTTTCTACGAGGAAGAAGCCTTTTTCCAAAAGAGCTCTTTTGGAAAAAGGTATGTGTGGATGGGGAACAGGAAGTTCAAAAGAAGAGGTAAGAGGAAAAAGCGCAGGTGGCCATTTCATCCATAGTAATCACAACTTAAATGTGAGATAGCATCCATTCAGTGTGGACGCTATCTGTCGAAAAAGCAGATCACTTTTTCGATGCCCTTTGGCAGTATAGATACTCTCCTTTGGAAGAAGTTTTTTTGGAAGATCTCTTCTGGAAAAGCTTATTCCGAAAGAAGCCTGCAGTCTAGACATAGTCCCAGTCATTTACTGTGTGACCACGAGCAAATCATGTCACTCCTCTGTGGCTCAATTTTGCTCATCTGTAAAATGTCCTCAGCGATACTTCTGTGCTGGGAAACTGAATTCATACTTACAAAGATCCCCGGATAAAATACCGCATAGAAGTTCAATGCAGATGCCATCTCCTAGAACCCTACCACATTTTTCAGAGGATTTCAAGGGCCTCCTCTCCAATGATATGATTTTGCTAAGACAGTTATGGTTTGGAATTGACTCGCTTAAAAACCATTTTGCTTCCCAGCATGACATGCATCAGGCAAACCAAGCAATAATATTCCTTGAATTCCCACAAGCACAAAGCATTTTACGATGACTGGAGAAACCTGTAACTCAACCTGCCTGAACCTGGCAATGGTTGCTGCTAAACAAGATGCACATGGCAACTGAAGAAGTAGTGCAGGCTCACCATAAAGAACTGGCACAGAGTGATGTGTGGGAAGATGTTGTGAGCCTTGTTCTTCCCACAGATCTGCTTCGACTGCTGCCAGAAATCAGAGAGCTTCTGAGCCAAAGGACCGGTGGGGCGCAGGTATAGGACATATTCCCGAGGCAGGGGGTCATCAAGGAATGGGTCCCCCACATGAGAGAACAACCTGAGAGAGACAGGAAGGAAGAGGTGGCTAGGCTTCATAAGAGATTAAATAAAAAGGCAGATACTGAAGCAGAAATAACCAAAATCAGAGTTCTTCCCCACACCCCGTATTACTAGCTCTGGGGCCACTGATCTCCCAGGGACCAGGCATGGAATTGCTGTGCACTCCTACTGTCTCTATGTCCAGAGTGGTCTAGTTATTAAGTAAGGAGAAAGTCTGGTCTTTCAGTTAAGAGTTTGGACTCTGACTCAGTAGACCCAGGCTCAATCTTTGGCTTTACCATGGACTCTCTGGGTGACCATGCATCAAAAGAGCTTCATAATTTTGAGTACCACCCTCCCCAACACATTAATGGGCCCTGATTGCTAGAAGGCAGATGTTTCAGTCCTCTCTGAAGATCATGACCTTTAACTTGTTCTCAGTGCAGACATTCAAAACCAAGGCACCCAAAACCCCTTGTCACCTTAGAAGATTTAGATCTTATACTTGCTCCGTTCCACAACTGTGAAGTGGAGGTGATAAAACTTCCTTTCTCTCACCGTCATCTGCCTTGCCTTTTGACACTGTCACCATCTCAGGGCAGGACCTGTCTCTGACCAAATGCCTTATGCTGCCTACACTACCAAGCCCTGATCTTGCTAGTATTACCCCCCCAGGAACTGCCAGGCTGCGTCTAGACTGGCAAGTTTTTCTGCACTTTTGCGGAAAAACTTGCCAGCTGTCTACACTGGCTGCTTGAATTTGCTCAAGAACACTGACTATCTAATGTAAGATTGTCAGTGTTTTTGCGCAAATACTATGCTGCTCCCGCTCGAGAAAAAGCCCTCTTACGCAAATGCTTTTGTGCAAGAGGGCCGGTGTAGACAGCTAAAAACTGTTTTGCGCAAAAAAGCCCTGATGGCGAAAATGGCGATCGGGGCTTTCTTGCGCAAAACCGCATCTAGATTGGCACGGAAGCTTTTCCGCAAAAAGTGCTTTTGTGCAAAAGCGTCCTGCCAATCTAGACGCTCTTTTCCGCAAATGCTTGTAACAGAATAACTTTTCTGTTAAAAGCATTTGCAGAAAATCATGCCAGTCTAGACGTAGCCCCATGGTATCCACAAACAACAATCATTCACATTATATCTGTAAAATAATTTAAATAAATCTTCTCCACTTTTTAAAATGATTACTTCATACCAACCAGTCACATGCTGCTTGAACACTTCTTCCGCCAGTGGATGCCAGGGCTTTTTGTCTGAGGAAGGGGAGGAAAAGAATATTCCAGCGTTAGTATTACCAGGAGTAGACAGAAAGGGGACAGTAACATTGGCTGCTTGCATTGGACTCTGCAATTCATCAGGAATATTCTGTGGTTCTGGGTGTGCAGACTGAGGCAATCACTAAGGGCCAGATCTGATGTCCTAACTCCTGCTGAGTCCTGCATTCCTCTAAGAACGTTCCAATTTAACTCAATTTGTGGAGCACAGCACCAGAAGAGACCCAGACCCAGAGACGCACCCCCTGAATTGGTGCCCCACCCACTGCTCCACGTCCCTGTTCGTCATCCAAACAGGAGCATTCTGCTCAGCTGATGCAAACTCAGCCTGAAGTTTTGCTCCTTCCCAATCCTACCCACTACTTCCTCTCATCAGGTGAGTGCTGTTGAACGCCAGATCTTCCAATTTTATCATGAGCCTCGTGATATTTAATAAAAGCGGCGAGGAGTCCTGTGGCACCTTACAGACTAACCGAAGTGTTGGAGCATAAGCTTTCGTGGGCAAAGCTTATGCTTCAACACTTCGGTTAGTCTATAAGGTGCCACAGGACTCCTCGCCGCTTTTGCAGATTCTCTGATACGTGATATTTAATGTTGCACTTGATGCCCCGGCTCCTGGAGGCACATGATTATGTGGGGGTCTCAGCACTCATTTTAAGCAAAAGGAAGTTTCTAGTGCTCACAGTTGCACAGAAAGTTTGAAAAAGTGACCTGAGCACACCCCAAAGGCTTGAAATAGGAGTCCAACAGAGAGAACCCCAAACTTAAAAACAACGCATAAGAGTTTGTAGCCAAGTTTGTGACTTTCTGAGATCTGACTCGTGATTCTGGAACATGTGGGGTTGGCAACATGGCATTTACATATTGCATCACTGCAAGAATATCCAGCTTAGGAGGTGTGTTCTCTCTTTGAGCTTTCATTGTGAAAGGACTGCAGTATTTTATTTATAAAAACGGGGAATATGGTTTCCCTCTGCTTACAAAAATAACTTCCTATTCCCTGTGCAACCTCTTAGCTGCCCATAGTGCATTTCACTTGTCAAATCAGCACCATTACCTAAATGTGAAGATTCTGCATGGAATCTGGATCTATTCTAAATGCACCTTATGACAGGCTTAATCAAATTAAAAGTTGCTCGATCAGTTCACACAAGACACCAATATCTGTTTTCTTTCACTTAGCGGGCTGCATAATAGATGGAACACCTTTATTTCAGATCTATCGCTACCAGGATTTTAAAATGATCTATTTGTTGGCCTTTTGATCAGCATGAAAATCAAAGTGGATGGATATGAAAGTCGGGGTGCCTCAGGCAGCTTTAAGAACAGTGAAAAACAACCACCACCAGGGGGCACAAAGCAAATATTTTCAGCCTGGAAAAACTATGGAAAAACTGCTAAATGTGTGCAACTCTTGTTAAACTGATCATGTTCCTGTTCTGATATTTCTCTATTAAGAGCATAACTATTCCCTGTTATTCTAACAAAGATTGAATAAAAATGCACCAAAGTGTTCTGTTGAGCAGTCAGGACAATACAGGAGGAAATCAATACACGGCAATTTAATGTTGGATAGCGCCTATTTATATAATGCACTGAAAAGCAGTTATCCCTGGAATGGTCAATTAGGCTCTGGAATTCAATTACTACGGTAAGAGGTCAAGAACTCATTAGGATTTTAAAAGGAAATAGATGTGTATATGGATATAATTGTGTATGCTACAACTTGAAGAACTCTGGAAAGGACAGAAATCTCATGTTTCTCACAATTGGGGGTCAGGATGAAACTTCCCTGGGGAGCAGGCTATCTAGTAATCCCCTACTGCAGGGTGGCACCCAGTGTTGGAGACAGGATACTGGACCTAGTTAGGCACATACAGCTCTCTCCTAAGAATAAAAGGGACTCCAAGAGAGTCTACATCAGTGGTGGGCAACCTGCCCACGGGCTGCATGGTCCATCGGGGCTCTGTGTGTGGCCCATGACACATGTTGTTTATGTTGCTCATGCACAGGGTTTCCAGATCCCTTTGGTTTCCATCCGCACAGGTTTTTTTCCTACCGGTGTTACTAAAGTGGCACACCATTCAAGCCAGGGCACGTGAAGTGAGGTCCATGCTAACTGCACACAACACTGACTGGCTACATCTACACTGGCATGATTTTCCGGAAATGCTTTTAACGGAAAAGTTTTCCGTTAAAAGCATTTTCGGAAAAGCACATCTAGATTGGCAGGACGCTTTTCTGGAAAAGCACTTTTTCTGGAAAAGCGTCCGTGGTCAATCTAGACGCGCTTTTCCGCAAAAAAGTCCCGATCGTCATTTTCGCGATCGGGGCTTTTTTGCGGAAAACTCTACTGTGCTGTCTACACTGGCCCTTTTCTGGAACAGTTTTCCGGAAAAAGACTTTTGCCCGAACAGGAGCAGCATAGTTTTTCCGGAAAAGCAAAGATGATTTTACATTAGATTGTCAGTGCTTTTCCGGAAATTCAAGCGGCCAGTGTAGACAGCTGGCAAGTTTTTCCGGAAAAGCGGCTGATTTTCCGGAAGAACTGGCCAGTGTAGACACAGCCACTGTGAGAGCCATGCGCTCCCTCTGCATCCCATCGAAGTGCTGCTATAGTTCAGTCGGCACCCCTCCCCTCCCAAATTCTAGGTATGCAACAGCTGTTAGCAAAACTACTCTATCCTGGGAGTCCGTCTTAGTTAGGATAATCTATAAAGATGAAGAAGGGTCACTCATGCAGCCCACTAACTAGCCTAGCTTGCCCATTGCTGGTCTGCATCCTTGAAACTCAGGGCTCTGAAGCCTTGAATAATCAATCATGTACGCACAGTGGCATCTTTCCCAGGATCGAGCAGCAGAAGCATTCAGCTACATGTACAGTTTCTGTGAGGGTAATGATTCTGCTTGTTGCCCTTCTTTCCTCAAGGAACATGGAGCTGGAACCAACATAGGTAGTGGCTGGTTTTATATCCCAGTTGTTAAACGGGTCTAGACAGCTGCCTTCATATTGTTCTATGGATGGCATAAGCTGTCTCAGAACTCTATGCAATAAAAATTTGCCTCACAACAGGAAAAACTCTATTCAGTTTCTTAGCTGGCCTCCAATGGTACCCTCAAACTTAAGTGCTATGTTATGGTTTATTGTAAAGTGAAGGCTTCCTGACATCTGTAAGCTGACTGGCGACAGTTCATGTAAGCTAGGAGATAAGTGTATCCTCTGGGGTTGGAGGACATGAGTGCAAAGGGCCTGAGGCTGGCAGTTCTGGGTTCATGGCTCTGGAAGGGAATTAATTGAATGTGTACAGCAGGAGAATGGGGTCAGTGCTATCGGGCATTTCATTCGTAGTTCTGCTAATGGCTCACTGTGCATATCTGCCATGCCTCAGTTTCCCTGTCTATCCCTCGTTAGTGTTTTTGAACGCACTCTGATATCCGCTCAGGAATAGCGCAGCTCAAGCACCAAGCATTACTAATACATGGGTACAGCCATGCATGAATGAGAGGGTATGTCTACACTGCAACGTTATTTTGAAATATCTTATTTCGAAATAGTTAATTTGAAATAAGTTATTTCGAAATAGCGCATCCACACTGAGTGGACGCTGAATCGCATTTAAGGCTGGCTGGAACCAGGTCTGGCAGGGCATCAGGTCAGGAGTTACTTAGCCTCAGGCAGCAGCCACACAATCTGAGGCCTCTGCTTAAAGGTACCCCCACTGGACAGCCAGTTCTCAGCTTTCTCTGCTTGCTTGCCTACCTCGATGAGGGACAACAAAGCATTTTGTCTCTATGTGCTCTGGTTGCCTTCACTCGGGACACCACAGCACTCTGCAATATGGAGCCAGAGCTGCCCCTGGACACAGAAAGTAGGAATAAGAAATCCTCCGGAAAAGGGCTTATTCTCCGGAGAATCGTGTCTAGACTGGTGCTTTTCTCCAGCTTATCCCCAAGCCGGAAAAAAGCGGCAGCCATGTAAATGCAAATGCCGCGGGGGATATTTAAATCCCCCGCGGATTTGCAATTCCGACTGGTCTAATCTGCATCCCTTTTCCGGAAAAGGGGTGCAGCGTAGACACAGCCTTATAGTTTCATTAACTTCAGTGGAGCTTTGTCAATTTACACCAGCTACATTTCTGACCCTAGAATTTCATTAGCTCAGCTTCTTCTACTCACTTATAGTCAAATGGCCTCAGAACAACAAAACAACTCTCCTTCCCCCTCCCTTTCCTTCCTTGTTTATAGTAGTGACTCTCAGACCAGGTGTCAATGTACCCATGGAGGGATGCAGAGGACTTCCAGAGGGTACATCAATTCATCTAGATATTTGCCTCGTTTTACAACAGGCTACATAAAACACACAAGCAGAGTCAGTACAAACTAAAAAATCCATATAGACAATGACTTGTTTACGCTGCTCTATATACAATATAAGTGAGACATTCCAATTGATTTATTTTATAATTTTATGGCAAAAACAAGGAAGTCGGCCATTCATGAGTAATAATGGGCTGCGACACTTTAGTATTTTTATGTCTGATTTTGGAAGCAAGCAGTTTTTAAGGGAGGTAAAATTTGGGATGCACATGACAAATCAGACTTTTAAAGAGGTATCTGGGAAGATTAAGAACCACCGATACTTATGGTGAATCTAATGCTATTCGTTCTGTTGTATGCATAGCAGCAAATCTCCATTGACATTAAAAATGTACTTCCTGCAAAGCCCTACTTGCTTTGAAAGGAGCCGTTTCTCCAACGCATAGTGCAAGTTAACAGCCTGGATCATGCCTCTGATTAACTTTCTCCAGACCCCAGAACAGATCATCTGAGGCACCATGCATGGCATAGCAGGACATAGGGTGCTGCCACCCAGCTCCCCTCCCCCACTCTCTTCACGAAGCTGTGAATGTTTTCTTGGAATGAGTGGCACAATAAAGCTCTGTTAGAATAGACAGTAGCTCTTTCTCTGCTGCCTTTTG